CCCTTCACCTTCTAGTGTGTGGTCTGGTCAACTCTTGAAATGATAGTACTACACTACACACAGATCACAATAGCGTGATGCATCAAATGAACAAATCCACAAGGGCCGTGACGAGGGTTCGAACCTACGTCCGGGAGCATCCCAGACGCTGCCTTAATCGACTGAGCTACGACATGGTAATAAGAATTGCAACCGGTAAATCAACTTGACCTACCACGGATCCTGCAGCCTCTCAGAGACACAAACCAGGTTTTTACACACTCCCCCCACCCCCATGCACCCAAGCTCTGTCAATAAGCTGTTCTATCCCTTAGTTCTTCATTACACACAGAAATCACAATAGCGTGATGCATCAAATGAACAAATCCATAAGGGCCGTGACGAAGGTTCGAACCCTCATCACAGCCCTTGTGGATTTGTTCATGATAGTACTGTTTACAACTATTGGGTCGAAAGTACCAGTATGACGGGCCGGACCAGAAGATAGAATTTTGTACTATTAATTTTATAGTCTAGAAAAAATAAAGCTTAAAAACCACTTCAATATTCTTAGGCCGAGTATACATAAGAACATAAGAACAAAGGTAACTGCAGAAGGCCTATTGGCCCATACGAGGCAGCTCCTATTCTATAACCACCCAATCCCACTCATATACTTGTCCAACCCGTGCTTGAAACAATCGAGGGACCCCACCTCCACAATGTTATGCGGCAATTGGTTCCACAAATCAACAACCCTGTTACTGAACCAGTATTTACCCAAGTCTTTCCTAAATCTAAACTTATCCAATTTATATCCATTGTTTCGTGTTCTGTCCTGTGTTGATACTTTTAATACCCTATTAATATCCCCCCGGTTATGTCCATTCATCCACTTGTAAACCTCTATCATGTCACCCCTAACTCTTCGCCTTTCCAGTGAATGCAACTTAAGCTTTGTTAATCTTTCTTCATATGAAAGATTTCTAATTTGGGGAATTAACTTAGTCATCCTACGCTGGACACGTTCAAGTGAATTTATATCCATTCTATAATATGGCGACCAAAACTGAACTGCATAATCTAAATGGGGCCTAACTAGAGCAAGATATAGCTTGAGAACCACACCAGGAGTCTTGTTACTAACGCTGCGATTAATAAATCCAAGTGTCCGATTTGCCTTATTACGAACATTTATGCATTGATCCTTTTGTTTTAAATTCTTACTAATCATAACTCCCAGATCCCTTTCGCAATCCGACTTCGCAATCACAACACCATCTAGCTCGTATCTTGTAACTCTATCATCATTACCTAACCTCAGAACTTTACATTTATCAGCATTAAACTGCATCTGCCAATCCTTTGACCATTTCAAAACCCTATCTAGATCAACTTGAAGTGATAGTGAGTCCTCCTCCGAATTAATTTCCCTACCGATTTTCGTATCATCGGCAAATTTGCAAATGTTGCTACTCAAACCTGAATCTAAATCATTTATATATATTATAAACAACAGAGGTCCCAGGACAGAGCCTTGAGGCACTCCACTTACAACATTTTCCCACTCTGACTTGATTCCATTTATACTAACTCTCTGTTTCCTTTGGTATAGCCATGCCCTAATCCAGCTTAATATAGCACCCCCAATACCATGAGACTCTATTTTTTTAATCAGTCTTTCATGTGGCACTGTATCAAAAGCTTTGCTAAAGTCAAGGTATACAACATCGCAATCCTTACCACTATCAACTGCCTCAACAATGCTAGAATAAAAAGATAACAAATTTGTTAAACATGAACGGCCATTTATAAAACCATGTTGCGACTCAATTATTAATTTATGTTTTTCAAGATGAAGACGAATTTTATTTGCTATTATAGATTCGAGTAACTTTCCCACAATAGACGTTAGGCTAATTGGTCGATAGTTAGACGCAAGTGATCTATCTCCTTTCTTAAAAACTGGTATCACATTAGCAACTTTCCAAAACTCTGGCACTCTGCCTGACTCTATTGATTTATTAAATATGGTTGACAGTGGGTCACAAAGCTCCTCTTTGCATTCTTTAAGCACCCTAGCAAACACTTCATCCGGCCCTGGGGATTTGTTTGGTTTGAGTTTTACTATTTGTTTAAGAACATCCTCCCTGGTAACTGCTAAACTTGTCAACCTGTCCTCGTCCCCACCCACATAGACTTGTTTGGCTGAAGGCATATTGTTAAGTTCCTCTTTAGTAAATACAGATACAAAATATTTATTAAAAATACTACTCATCTCTTCATCACTATCTGTTATTTGACCTGTCTCAGTTTTTAATGGACCTATCCTTTCCCTAGTCTTAGTACGATATAACTGAAAAAACCCTTTAGGATTTGTCTTTGCTTGCCCTGCTATGCGAACTTCATAGTTTCTTTTTGCTTTCCTTATCTCTTTTTTAACATTTCTAACCAGTTGTACGAATTCCTGTTCTAAAGTGACCTCCCCATTTTTAATCCTTTTGTACCAAGCTCTCTTTTTACCTATAAGGTTCTTCAAATTCTTTGTTATCCACTTTGGGTCATTAGTATACGATCTATTCAATTTGTATGGTATACTACGTTCCTGTGCTTTGTTTAGAATATTCTTAAATAAGTTATATATTGAATCCACATCGAAATCCCCATTTAAGTCACCTATCGCTGGGTTCATGTCTCGCTCCAAGACCGGCCCACACCCCATACCCAAGCCTTTCCAATCAATTTGACCCAAAAAATTTCTTAGGCTATTAAAATCAGCTTTTCGAAAATCTGGCACTTTAACAGAATTTTCTCCTACTGGTCTATTCCATTCTATGCTAAATCTGATTTCTTTGTGATCACTGCTCCCTAGCTCACTCCCTATTTCGATGTCATTAATTTGCGTTTCCCTGTTAGTTAACACTAAATCTAAAATATTATTTTCCCGTGTTGGTTCCTTAATGTGTTGCGTAAGAAAGCAATCGTCAATTAATTCTAGAAAATCTTCTGCTTCACTATTCCCTGATAGTATAGCACGTATATGTACTATATTATCCCAAAGATAACGTGTATTAGGCCGAGCACTGGTGGGAGAGGTTAGGTCTTGTATTTGTTACTGATAAAGTTTCCGGTTTGAACCAATACAATAATACCAAAGTCTACCATCTGGTGGTCCATAACTTCATGTTGGTACTTTCGACCAAATAGTTTACTGTAAGTACTTTCATTTAGGAGAATGGGCTGATTATCGATAAAGTTGTGTGCGTGTGCGGGGTTGAAGGCGAGATGCTTGCGGCTAGTCTCGTTAAACTTTACACCATTAATGGTCATTTCTGGGACACTGGGGTCGTCTCGGTGGCCTAGAGACGTAAACTCTCACAAGTCAAGCCTGGCCTCGGGCCGGGCTTGGGGAGTAGAAGAACTCCCAGAACCCCATCAACCAGGTATCAACCAACCAGAGGTCGTGATCACGGCCACACACTCACGAAGTCTATAGATGTGAAATGTTCAGGGCCGAGCCCATAGACTTTAACATTAGTTTAAATAATAGTTACCATGGGGGATTTTTAGCACCACGTAACTAGCTTTTTGACACACTGTACTCCCCTTCATATAGTCTAGGGAACCTGCACAAATGCACATGTACCCAAATATGATAATAAAAAATATATATTTTCAAAACATTTTCAGATGACAGATTTGCATTCTGGGTGCAACCTTTTATTCCATTGATTGGGGGAGGGGGGAGGGAGGATACAGGGGAAATTGAAATTGGAATTGAAATAAGTTTATTGAGGTAAAATACACACAAAGGGATGAGGTAGCTCAAGCTATTCTCACCCCGTTCAGTACATTGTGTTAATACATACATAGACACACATCACAAACAATAAACATATTACCAAACATTCTGAGAGAATACAGGGGAAGGGTGTGTGCTTGGAAGAGAGGTGTGGTGTATGTTGGAGGAAATGGGGGGACGGAACGTCTAGGTGGGGGAGGGAGGGGGGGATGTTTATGCATCCCAGTGAAGATGATGGTCTTGTGTATTATCATCCACATCACTTGGCACTATAATAACCTCCCTTCTCTCTCGTGGCAAGCAGGCGCCCCCCACCCCATCCCTCTCCCCTCCACCCATGAACCATGTAGTAATGGGTTCCAACACCTTACCGGACTCTTTGACGTGCACCAGTAGATGGTGTGGGGACAACACGACCATCTGCCTCTGGACGGTAGAGCGACGGTCTCGCTTTATGCAGGTCGGTGTTCAATTCCCGACCATACAAGTGGTTGGGTACCATTCCTTCCCTCTATCCCATCCCAAATGCTTATACTTACCCCTTCCAAGTGCTATATAGTCGTAATGGCTTGGAGCTTTCTCCTGAATGTAAGCTACACCAACCGGAAGCCCTTTGTCTGAATAGCCGGTTTCCAGAAATGTGAGCAGGTTAATAAGGCAGAATCTATTTTTAACACAACAATGTTGCGTTGATTTTACAAGATTGTTCTTTGTGAGATGTTGGATGATTCCCTCCCTTAGGAGTCTCCATGAGCTTGCAGATGTGTCATGTCAAGCTGATCGGACGGTAGTTTTTTGCCTTTTTTTATAATAGGGGTAACATTTGCATATTTTCAATCCAGGGAAACTATCCCTTGGTCCAGGGATTTTCTGAAAAGAAGTTTGTGGCGTGCATAGTGCATTTGCCAGTTCCTTGACGACTTTGGATTGAAATCCATCCACACTTGGGGCTTTTGAGTCTTTGGTTTGTCAATGTTCTTCCTGACTGTGTCGCATGTAATGGGTATATCCCTCAATTCATTCTCTTCATCACCTTCAAAGATTTGTGTGGATGATGGGATGTCATTCAATCATTCTAGTATGAACACTGATGTAAAGTATTCATTCAGTGTTTAGTAGTGTATATAGTGAATGTATTAACTAGACTTAACAAAACCATCTCATTAAGCTAATGAGAGTTTGGAGCGGGTATATTATTGAGGTAATCTATTCATTACAGTGTTGGCGGGTCAGCTGAAGGTAACCGGTCAAGTGGGGTCGCCGTGGAGCACAGGGAATAATGACTACTATTATGACCCGCTCAACCCAGAGGACACACTCCCCGTCATCACCACCACCAACAGCTCTCTGGTTGCCATCCAGGGCGACTCCCTCCTCCTCCCGTGCGAGGTCCATAACCTAGGTTTGTAGTCTGACTGTCAATATGTTGCTATATCTGCAAGTCTTCCATGATCGCTCGTACTCCTATCTACTATTCTGAAAATAAATATTCTTTTCATTATTGTTCTTCCAAGATTTACCCTCAATGTGTAGCTCTTCCCTCTCCTTTTGGATGCGCACAGCCTTCTAGTTGAGCAGCTTCCTGCCTCACATTTGAATTACACACTAATTCTTTTAAAGCCACATTGTCACAGCTCGATTATCTGAGCCATGCCACTCCTACCAAAGACGCTTATTTAATCTTCCTGCTTCACCCACACCAAGGCTTGTCTCATTAACACTCATTCCCTTCTGACTGACTTAATTCAATCCGCTCTACCATCACCACAGGAGATTCCTGCTAATGGCTCTTCCTTCCCACAGGAGAATACAGCCTCACCTGGCGCTATAAGAATGAGATCCTTTGGGTGTTACATCAAGACGCTGATGGCCTCGATGTCCAGGTATTGTCTTAATTACACCACACTCTGTGATCTTTCTCTCTTGGGTCCTGTGTCGAGATCCTATACCCATGATTACGATTATTATTAATAGAATAAAAGGACCCATTCTTTGGAACTCACTCCCTCACGAATTAAAAAAATTGTCAAACCTATGCCTTATTCAAAAGTAAAACCAAAAAGTACCTAATTTCATATTCATAGTTCCGTACCTGCTTCATACCTGCTTGATGGGGTTCTGGGAGTTCTACTACTTCCCCAAACCTACAATGTAGGGATTTGTGCCTACCTTGTAGGCACAAGGTAGGCTACCTTGTGCCTACCTCTGCCTACCCCTACCTTGTGCTTTACTTCAACTGTATTTTGTAGTTCCCACTTCCCCAATATAAGTACTTAAGACACCTTTACCAGTGTAATCACCTCTGTCAATTTATATTAAAGTTATTTGTTGAGATAAAACTTTGCTACAATGTACCTTTCCATCTTGCTTGATATGTTAAATTATAAGGACCTGCCGGAAACGGTATGCGTGTTAGTGGCTTTGCAAGAATGTAAAAATATCACTAATGTAATCTCACCAACCCATTGTACCTTCTTGCAAATAAAATACTGTATTTTATTAATATTATATTGAGAATGAGGAAACATGCATGTATGAACAATTATAAAAAGTTGTCTACATTGACTCGGTACATTACCTTGCAACAGCCTGTGTTGCCAGATACACTAGGGCTGTGGGTAACAAGTAGCACATAATGTATAACACTAAGACTAAAGAGAATTAATTGGAACACTTAGGTAACTCGAACCAGCAATCAGGGTGCTCCTCGCCACACACACTTTACCCCTGTACCAGGACATGCCTACCTACACCAGAGTGCATTGGGGTTATTTGTAAAACTTGGACTGGCATCAGTAGAAGCCTCCAAATTTTGTTTTATTTGAGGGAATTTCAGGTTGTATAACTTAAACCATGTCAGATACAGCTCGAAGTGCCCTGATTGCTAGTTGAGTCACCTCAGTGTTGTAATTGATATTCTCACTGATATAAGAAAATCTCTACAGTATTTCAGAGGGGCTTCCTCCTAAATCTGAGAACACATCTAGGAGGTGCATTGTGGTGCTTGCTCCGGATGGGCAATGATTTATGACATGCAAGACAGCTATGCATGTCATACATAAGCTAATGGGACCAGCTTAGAATTTTGCTACAGTACAGTATTTGATTTGTATTGCATATGGCCTCTATATACCTTTACTTGTTTTATAGGGTTATAGAAAACAATTGCTATTGTCCATAAATAAATCATCTAGATACTAATCACTAACATTCAAATTGTACTATCGACCAACAGTGTGTGTCCCAGGATGACCGCATTGGCTTCAATGGGACATCACTGACTCTAGGACCCGTGGAACCCCGAGACAGTGGCACCTACATTTGTGAGCTTGGTACAGTGCCTATCCGTGCCCTCATCCACACACTCGCCGTCAGAGGTTTGTGGCTAGACCCCTATTTTATCATGTAGGTAATTCCATACAGTAATTGTACTTGCTGGACTGTAGTTAATGAATAAGAGCTAAAATTGTGGTGTACCATAAAGTATATATATATATACTGTATATACTTTATGCTTGTATCAAGCATTTTAACTCATAGGGTTATAAACCCATGGAACTGTCTACCTGTTAAAGCCCTAAATGCCAAAACATTGCTGCAAATTCAAAATCTAGTGAGAGAAAATCTTCATGACAAATGGGAGGACTTTTGACAAGCCACCAGCTTCCTGTCATTGTCAAGGCCACTAGTGAAATGATGTCATTCAGGTAAATATAACATGAGGTAAGCTAGATTCACCCTGCCTAAATCAAAATGTCACTTCAAATGTTTATTCAGATGCAAGTTGTCATCTAAAAATTAAATGGGTAAACACTTAACAAGAGTCTTTAGTAGTTAGCATTTAATTGAGGTAGCAACACTTGATGTAAACTAATTAAGTCTTCAACACTTGACTGCTGCAGTGCCTCCATCAGTGTACCCGGCCAACAACCGCAGCGTGGTGACCATAAAGATGGGTGGCAGTATCACTCTGGCCTGCCATGCAACTGGTCATCCCAAGCCAACTGTCACCTGGAGCCGCAAGGTAAGCAGTGTCCAGATTTTAGGCCCTATGAATAGCTACAGCCATTGCTAGGTTCTCGTTCTGACTGTAGGTTTGTGTTCATCATGGGCCTAGCTAAAGTATTTTAATTTGGTCTGATATGGAGAAGAACTTCTCAGTATGCCCAGTTGATCAGATTTGTAAAAGTGAAAGTAAAAAAGTAAACTAGTAATTACTAGTAAGGAAGCATGTACAGTGTAGATATATAAATGCAAAAAAGCAAAATAATAAAATAAAAATCCCCCAAGCCTCAAGGAGGGATTTGCCAGGGTTGTATATTAATGTAAATGAGGAGCTTATTCAACCTTTGTCAAGTACTTTATATACAATATATTATACAAGTCAGACACTTCCAGAAATGTAGTGTGTTCTGAATGAAATCCAAATTTTAATACTCTCCAGCACTGAATGTCATGAAGCACCTTTACTGGTCGACACTCGATGGTTTCCAGAGCTCAACTTGAATACCATTAATCCTTAGCTCAATACACCAGACTTCCAAGATACTGTTTATCTGTCTACCTGGTCCAGGGGCTAGATTCACGTAGCAGTTATGCAAGTACTTATGAACATGTACATCTTTCCTCGATCTTTGTCGGCTTCGGTTACATTTATTAAACGGTTTACAAGCATGAAAACTTGCCAATCAACTGTTATTGTTATAAAAAGCCTCCTGGTGCTTCGGAGCTCATTAACTGTTTAATAATTGTAAACAAAGCCGCCAAAGATTGAGAAAAGATGTACAGGTTTGTAAGTGCTTGCGTAACTGCTTCGTGAATTTAGCCCCAGGATTCTGGCTAACTCGAAGGCATGGAGAGCAGAGGATCAGATCTTGGCCACAAACTTGGGAAAACCCATCAGAAACCATAGGTGCAACAAAACAGGAATGACAGTTTCTATGGGGTAAAGACCCTGGCTGTGAAGTGCCTTACTATCACCAGATATCATCCCAGGTCACCTTAGGGCTTTGCCAGCCTGCTCCCACTTTTGGAACTGCTTGTGCAAAACCCACGGAATTAGGGAACAAAATGGGGATGGGGAGCCTACAGGGGGCCCACCAAAATAGCATTTCAGAACATTCAGTGTGTGATTTCTGAATGTTCTGACAGGTAGTGGGGATGACAGGTACTCGGATTCATTATTATGCCATGAACAATAAGTATGTCATTCTGTATATTGTAACTATTATAGAGAATGATGTAAACAAATTAATAGTTGCTTTCAATCTAAGGAAATGTTTGTTAAATGAAAAACTAATAATAAGAGACAAGCAGCATTTGACTATAGTCTGTAATTTTGCCAAATACAGCAACAAGAAAAGTAGTCTGACATGTATCCTTAGGGTGGAAATCTGCCTGGGCCAGCAGAGGGAGCAACTTTGAGTGTGGAGGACGCTGTGCCTGAAGACAATGGCATCTACAAGTGTACAGCTCGAAATGGTGTGGGAGAACCGGCTTCTACTTCCATTACTCTTCAGGTCATGCGTGAGTATTTTATCTGGTATTTTTTTTATCACCTCCACCACTGCTATCATTCTTAGTGTAATGAATTTTTTTAATACTAGAATACTGTACTGGTCAATAGTAATAACTTCAGACCATTTATTTAAAAAAGTTCACTAACTCTCACAAGAGGCAACAGCTTCAAGCTCAACAAGCCACAAAGGAGGACAGAAAACAGAATGATTGTTTACCTATAGCAGAAATATACCTGTGTAATTGCCCATGTGCTGAAACCATAAGTGTGAAGCCAGTTCTCCAATTCAAAATTCGGCTGTAAATGTCCTTGGAAATAATGAGTAGGTCTTTGGCAAACTGCTGGCTTTCTGTCCCTATTGAGGTGACTCTTGGAGAAATTTATGTAAATTCAGATATACAGTAATGGCAATGATTCAGCTTATTACAGCCAATAATTTGACCACTTGGCATTTTGTCTTTTCAGCATCTCAACATATACTTCTTATTTAAACAGATGAACCTAAAGTGTGGGCAGAGAGAGACGAGGTTTACTCTGGTGTAGCCTATGATTCCTCACTAGCTTGCTATGTGGAAGCTGAACCTCGAGCTCAGGTCAAGTGGTACAAAGTTGGCGATATTCCAGTGGATCCTCTGAGACTCCGTAAGACAGTGGATGCAAACTACAGGTTTGAAAACGAAAATATGTGTTTTGTGATGTTAAATTGTGTAAGTGTGCATGTAATTACCAAGGTTTAGTTACAGAATGAGGGTGATGCTCATGGGGACCATTTATCCTATAATCTAAATCATATACAATTTTTAAGCTTTAGATGGCTTTGGCATCTACTACTAACTCATGGTGCTGGTGAGGCTGATGGCTTGGTAGTGGTGAGTTTGAAATTGTAGAACCCCCTTGTGTGAGCCATGTTGAATGACTTGAAAGAGTGGTTTGGATTGATGGTGTCTTGCTGAGGTCAGTCATGTCATGTCTTGCAGAATTACTTGCTTTTTATCCCTCGGTCTTTCCTTGTTTGAGAGTTCTTAATGAGAATGCAGTTCAATGGAAATAAAAATAATTGAATAATTCATTTTGTCAGGAACAGGAAGCCTGTCTATATATAATCAGTATATACCTCAAGCTTGTATCGAAGTCCCCCAAGGTCGAACTTCTGACCTTCCCCAGAATGCAACTCTCTATTAGTTACCCAACTCCCAGGTACCTATTTACTGCTAGGTGAACAGAGGCATTAGATCAGGCATTCTCAATGTGGGATAATGTCGCCCCCCCTGTGGTGTACCCTTGAAGTAATTCTTGGTCGTACATTAGATAAATGCTCAGATTTCATTGACAATTTTAATGGACACGATGTCTATCTTTGCTCGATGCTTAAATAAGAAAAATGAGAAATTAAATGGAAAAATTATTCAAAAAATATATTTACATATGATTGGAACTAGCCTATTTATCACTCTCGGAACCCCTAGTTACCTTGAGATTTCGTGGAGCCGAGGTTGAGAAATGCTTCATTAGATGACAGGAAATATTAAACATTACAGTCTCCGTGGTGTAGTGGTAAGACACTCGCCTGGCGTTCCGCGAGCGCTATGTCATGGGTTCGTATCCTGGCCGGGGAGGATTTACTGGGCGCAATTCCTTAACTGTAGCCTCTGTTTAACGCAACAGTAAAATGTGTACTTGGATGAAAAAACGATTCTTCGCGGCAGGGGATCGTATTCCAGGGACCATAGGATTAAGGACCTGCCCGAAACGCTACGCGTACTAGTGGCTGTACAAGAATGTAACTCTTGTATATGGTTCGAGAACAAAGAATAGTTGAACATCACGAGGCAGAATTACAGTATTCTATACTGCACCATGTGAAAGGGTAACATAAAATATATTGGCTAAGGGTACAGAATTGTACCCTTCATATGGGTTATCCCTTCAAACCTTGTGGTTCGGTCCGAGCAGTGTAAATGCTCGGCGACTGTAAAGTGTCTATACTCTCCAAGATTTCCAGTGTTATTTTTTGAGTTATAATTGTGAATTGTGTGCCAAAATGTTCAGAAATTACTTTTCTAGAGTATAGACAAATAATAAATGGTACACGAATTACATTTTATGCATGGTGTTACTGAATATACAAAAGTTTATCAACTTGTAACATTCTTCATTTATTATTTATCGTAAAAAACGGTGTTTGCAACTAATCACACTACTGTATATAGCTCTAAAAAAAAAAAAAAAAAAAACTTGTATCTTTTCTTTCCTTGGGTAATTTGCAAAGCAATAAGAAAATACACATGAGCTGAGCGATTGTCTTGCGTTATAAGACAAGATATCACTTGGTGGTTGAAGCAAATCATTTGGTAGTTGATGTGATTTGGTTGGTCCCCTGATACATTGATTAGTTTCCTGATAAGCTCTATCAACACTGTAATCATGTACTTCAAGAGTTTTGTCATAAAGGAACAAGTAGAATGAATGGTCAAGGAATTTATTTTTGGAAATTACAAATTGTGTGACGAATTTTAGTATCATTGGATTGATTAAGTTTAATTATGGAAGACACTAAAATGCATCATCCAACCACTAAAGTGTTATTTGACTTGTGACCTTTACAACCTACAGTTAAGGTAACTGCTTGTATTTTACAAGCAGTCACCTCAACAACTTAGTAATAGATTTTACAAGCAACTAAAATTAATGTTCCCCCTTTATAAGCAATGTCTGTTGTTTAAGGCGTTCATTTTTTACAGGTATTCGCTACATTTTGACCACGTTCAATTGGACGACTTTGGAAATTATACCTGCAATGCTACCAACTTCATGGGTAACTCCTCTGCTCTCCTCCGTCTCTCTGGACGACCCAAGCCTGTAAGGTAAGAGAAGCAGAGCCAAATACAAAATTTAATAATAGGGAAAAAGAAAAAGCTCAAACAAGTGTAAAAAGGTGAGGGCTCCCATGCCTGAATGTCAAGGGGAAAGGGGAGGGGGTCCTCCGTGCATGTACGTCATGGGGGTTAAATGGAGGGGGAAGGCTCCAATGCATGCACATCATGGGTAAATGGAAGGAAGGGGGGAGGGGGGTCCGTGCATGCATGTTGTGGGTTAATGGTGGGTGGGGCTCCCAAGCATGTCATGGAGTGAATACTTTTGTACAAGACAAAGCATAACCATTGCTCATTCCTTTATTTCTACATTTACAATGCACTTGAAAATCTGGTTCATGTGTGACTTCTATAGATGTATTATTTGGGTTATTTAAATTTTGTCTAGTACTGACTCGGCTCCCTTCCTCTTTCCCTATACAAATAAGTTTGAATGCAATGAAATGCACGTTTCTGGTGGGCTCTTGGTAGGTGAGCTAAGCACTGGTCTAGCCAAACCTTCGGAAGATAATGCAGGCCTTAAAGACCCACCCTTTACTACTGAAAACCAGCACCAAAAACTGGGTTTCTACGAGGTGAGCAAGGGAGGGAATTTTCAGGGGAAATCGCCAAGCCATTACGACTATATAGCACTTGGAAGGGATCAGGATAAGGATTTGGGATGGGACGGGGTGAAAGGAATAGTGCCCAACCACTTGGATGGTCAGGGATTGAATGCCGACCTGCATGAAGCGAGACCGTCGCTCTACCGTCCAGCCCAAGTCGTTGGTACGAGGTGAGAACTTGGGAATCATGTATCAATTCGAAACTGAGAAAAATACAAAACATAAGCATAAGCATAACAAAAAAGCTACTGCTTGAAGATCATTAGGTACCCAGGATATAGTACTCGGTTATGCCACAGTAAGCAAAAACTCTGGTACGTACTTGAAATTCCATACAGTCTGTCCATATTAATTTTCTTAGTAATGATTGTTCCATACCTAGTGTAGCACAGCTGTACAAGATCTGGGTTTCCTCAGAGATTCAGTCATGAAAAGAAAGTCACAGATGACCTGGTTAATACTTGTTAGTGTAGCTGCTGCTTTTGTTTATAACATTAATGGTCATATTTATATATGGGATTGTATTTTTTTAGGTATTAGCCTAAAAATTAGGAGGGGGGGCTTTTCCAATATATCCTGACAGAAGACTTTATAATAAATGTAACTTAAGTTGATGTAATGAGATCAAGGGTAACACCAGGATAGTTGTCACTTAATTGTTGAGGTATTTCTGCTAAACTTATAACAGAATCCTAGAGCTCGTGTGGTTCACCGTCATCTTGTGATGCTGTTCGGTGGATTCGAATTTGATTTTCTAACCTTAAAAAAATCATTATGATTTTTAATGTTTTATGTTCAGTTTTACTTATCACTTGTTTCAAGCTGTACAGTCAATCATCTGATGGTACCATTTGTTCATTAAGTGGCCCTCTTGAGTTTCCTGGGGACCGAAGTGTTTATACCATATACAGGCATACCTCAGAATAAGAGTTTAATCCGTTCCTGGAGACGCCTCGCCTTCCGAAAACTCGCATTCCGAAGTTAATTTCCCCATAAGAAATAAAGGGAAATGAATTAATCCGTTCCTGACTACCCCAAAAACCCCACATCAAACTAAATTTTTATACCTAATTTACCTAATTCATCTAAATAAACCTACAAAACTGTGTTTCAGTTATTACTTACCTTGCTGTCGAGTGCTGTAGGCGTATGGAAGATGGTGAGGAGGGGGGAGGAGGAGAGGAGTTACTGTTTGGAAGGGGAGTCCCCTTCCATAATCACATCACATAACCCCATGCCTTGTAACACTATGGATACCACTTCTCTTTCTAAATTTTTCAAACCAGCCCCTGCTTGCCTTAAACTCTTTCTTATCTGCATCACTCGTTGCAGGGGTATTCTTTAGAAGGTCTTCGTGCAACACCCTGGCTTTCTCACAAATAATGGCCTCCGAAACACTATCACACCTCAACTCCTTGTCGTGTATCCAAATTAATAACAACTTTTCCACTTCTTCAAGTATTTGTGGTCTTTGTGCCGTTAATGTTCTTACTCCTTTTGCCACTTTAGCACCCACAATCTTATTTTTCTTCTTAAGTATAGTGCATATTGTTGATGTGGCTTTGTTGTACTGCCTACAAAGTTCAACAACACGTGTACCGTTCTCATGCTTCCGAATGATCTCTTGTTTCTCCTCTATTGTCATCCTCACATGAGCTTTCTGGCCTTTATCCTTACCACTGGCTTTCTTGGGACCCATGGTGAGATATATAATAACAAATTGTATAGACAAATCACCAAAAATCCAACAAAACACTGAAAATCCGCGAGAAGAATTGATGTGGGGGTAGTCACTGAGCGCGAGACAATAATAAACTGAGGGGCGGAGGGGCGACGATCGCCGAACCACCGCGCGCTAGGTCGGCTGTACGCGTATCAACAAACTCGCGTCCAAACTCGCCTCCCGAAGTAACCATCGCCTTCCGAGACAAATTTTTGGAGTAAATACACCTCGCCTTCCGAAAACCTCGCATACAGGGACAATCGCATTCCGAGGTACCACTGTAAACATTTAAATAATAACTGCTGTTGGTGGCTTCTTTAATCTTTGGTAGAAGTTGAGATTAAGCCCTTTATCCTTTGCAACAAAATCCCCTTTTATATGCTCCCAAGAGGTATTCACTTTATCCTTCAAAATTCTTGGCCAGTAGCAACAATGTTTCTTGTCTCTTGGCTAAATTGCAATCACGATAAATTGTAATATTAGTTTTACCTTGCAGGTACACCAGTTCCAACCAGGGAGATAAAAACACAAGTTATGTACTCACTTGGTATGTGGAGAGCTATGCACCTGTCCTTGCCTACAGCATTTACTATAGGAATGTAAGTACAACATATGTAAGACACAAAAAGATGAAATATTCTTATTTTCCCTCATAGTTCATGTACAATAGTGTACCTATTGGGTTTGTGACCAATAACTGAATTCTATACACACACATACATATATATATATATAAAATATAAAATATAGTTGATATACCAGACATCTGTGACAATCTCTTCCTATTGGGAGCGAGTGGCATTTCAGTCTTGCCCCTTTTGACAGGGTTGAGAGCTTTATTTTTTTTTTTAATAATTTCTTTGATGCAGCGGGTAGTTTTCTTTGTTGTGATTAATGTCTGATTTCCACAAGCTCCTTTGTGGGGACAAGACAGACATTGGAAAGTTCCTTGTGATGAGTAAGAAAAGTAATCAAATTCATGTATGCAAGTGCCATGAGGACGTCGGAGCACTAAGCCTGAGGCACTATCAAGGTGCAAAAGAACTTAGAGCAGGGAAGGGAGATTCCCTCTAATATACAGTATACTGTATATGTTAACTTTGTCAGTATTGTAGCACTTACACAGCAACCTCATTGGTTATGACTGTCACTGTTTTGTATGTAGGAAATGGATAATAGTAAAGTGGGTGTGTTGTGTAGAGAGTAGGTGGTAATGCAGCAAACTATTTACTTATTGAGTGAAAGAAATTTGATCTAATGGGCACCATATTTAATTAAATACTGTATTAGTAAGAATTTGATTAAATAAGGAACAAAAGTAATATTGAGCAAGAACTATAGATTTGGGAAGCATGTCTAATAACTTTAGTTACAGTAACTTGTTTGGAATATGATCTACACAACACTTCTGAAAATATTGAGGCCATATAATGGGATTGAACCTACATCCCTGGACTCCACAGGCACACAGCGTCTCGGTATTTCCTTGTATATACAGTACAGAGGAGCCTTGATTTAATGAATTTAATCAGTTCCGGCACCGAGCTCGTCGTGTGAAACAACAACTGTCATCGGAGGCATCCGAGAACCAGCGGGAACAGTAGGAAGCGCCATGTGGTTTTCTCATTAATCGAGCAAAAGCTCATCAATCGAGACAAATTTTCTGCGAGTAGCTCGCTCATAAATGGAGCTACTCGTCACTCGAGGTTCCCCTGTACTACCGTCTTGTGATTTTATCATGCAATAACTGTTTGTTTATAGTCTTTTCCCATTCACAGGAGAGTGATACAGAGGACCAGTGGGTGTCTTTCACAGTTCCTGGGACGACATCCTCCTCAATCCATCACTCAAACAGTCACACTTTTACTGAACTTGACCCTGGTGCAACATATTATGTCCAAGTCACGGCAAAGAATGAATTTGGTGTGAGTGACATCAATGACACCTTTACATTTACCACATTTGATGCAGGTTAGTGTAGAGATGTTAGAGACTTCAATTAGAATAACACATGAAGGGTCACAATAACGTGGCTGAAAAATGTTGACCAAATCACACACTAGAAATTGGAGACGATGACATTTTGGTCCGTCCTGGACCATTATCGTATGTTATTGTGTTATCATCATCTTAACACTCTTGGGTTGTGATGAGATCTGCCATTTATGTGTGTTTTAGTTTGTGTTTGATAGGGAATTAGGTATGTTTAGGGGCGCCCTCTCGCCATGCCCAGCGGCTGGGGGGATTGGTGCCCTGAAGCTACATAAACGCCCTATACTCCCCGAAGTGGCAAGGGAAGTTAGGGGACAAGTATAATAAAGGGTGTAATAAGTCTTCAATTTCTAGTGTGTGGTTTGGTCAACATCAGAATAACATTTCTGAGCTAAACACTCAACTTAGCTCTTTCTAAGGACAAGACCAAACATAGGCAGGGGTGCAGGTTGACATTTTGCCAAAGTGCAACAGGGATCTTTTTAAAACATCCTAAATCAGGTCATACTTGGAAATGGAAGACACTGGTCAGTACACTGACATTAAGTGTAGTTTAAGGAGTGTCAGGTTTTAATGGAGCTCATTAGAATTTGTTAGAAACATTGTTACAATAAAAGGTTTGTTATAAGGGGTTCTTCACCTTTAATTAAATTCTGCCAATTTTAAACTTGGAAGCTTTAAATTCCCCAGTACTTTCAGCGGCGGTTTTAGTATTGTCATGTATACCATTAAATTCCATCCTCAATGTTCTCTAAATTTGTTTAACTTGCCTGGCATTGTGTAAAGAACTTGCACTGAAATGTTTAAAGCATTTTGTAAGAATATACAGTGGGGCCTCGATTTACGATAGTAATCTGTTCCCAGAGACGTATCGTATGTCAAAACGATTTTTCCCATAAGATATAAAGTGAATTGAATTAATCTGTTCCACACCCTCAAAAATATTAACTTAAAAATACATTTTATACTGAATACAATTTTTTTTTGTCTAACTACAATACAGTTCATATGTTTATCTTATCTTTATGGAGGACTCTCGATGGCGTATGGAAGATGGTGAGGAAGGGGGAGGAAGAGAGGTGTTACTGTTTGGAAGGGGAGCCCCCCTTCCATTAAACATCAGGCAGTGAGGACTTCTCTGGGGTACACACTCTGCGTACTACTAGGACCTGCGTACTATTTTTCCTGCTTCTGGCTCACTGCTCGATTTTCTCACTAGAAATCGTTCCATTGAAGATTGTTTTTCCCTTCTTTGCAACATTTGTCTGTAGTGAGGCATCACATTGTCATTAATAAGATCAATGCAATGGCCTGTTACAGCTTTATCTGGGTGATTTTTTTCAGCAAAACTTTACAGTTCTTCCCATACTGCACACATTTTCTTAATGAGGAAGACACATCCTCTACTGTTGTCTCCTCCTCCTCCTCCTCTGAAGATTTGTTGTACTGCCTAGCTAGTTCAACAAAAGTACCATTTTCGTGTTTACAAATGATCTTTTGTTTTTCCTTTATGGTCATTCTTACATGTGTTTTCATATGTTGAACCTCACCACTGACTTTCTTGGGACCCATGGCGTGATATAATAATCAGTTTCATGTTCAAAAAGCAAAAAATCACCACAAAAATGGAATTTCTTATAAGCGTGATCATCACTAAGTGGGCAGCTCTAGTAAACCGAGGCAGGTCGGCCCGCGTGACTGGGAACCATGCGCTCGGTCGACCCAAACGTGTATCGACGAATATAGTTAGTCGACAACACTATCATAAATGGTGTCGCATTTTTCGATCAAATTTATATGGTAACTCAAAATTATCGTAAGTCGAGGTGCCACTGTATAGCTATAATAGCTTATGCTTATAAGTGCAAGTTTCGTAATGGCTAAAATTGTTTAATTTATTTTCTTTCGTGAAATTGAAGGATGGTTTATCAAAAAGCCTTCCATAAATACGGGCGTGATCTAACAAGTTGTTGTATTCCACCGGCACACAGCTGGTTGGTGCTGTAGAACACACTTTTCATGAAGGTTTAATTGCAAAATATGTACTGCATAAATTGAGGTCTCTGCTCTGCATTTTTCTTCCTAAAATTTAATATTTTAATTATAAAAAAATATTCAATGACTCGGTTACAGTGGTTACTTACTGTATGCAGTATTTGTATATTTTATAAATCCACTATTTATTTGTTGTATTTTGGGCATAACTTTTTTAGTTTACTGTGCCTTAGAACAATCTGTTAATACACAGTACAATATAGAGATGATAAAATAGTCATAGTTCAATTTCATAATATTGACAGCATAAACACTGCACTTGTCCATTTGATTTTCTATGTATTGCACGAGTCCTTTGTTTCATAGCTGCCACTGACTTCCCCGAAGATTATCATGTTGAGGGGGAAAACTCTCCCTCCATCAACCAATCTGAAGACATGGTTTCAGAGGTAGTTGGAGTCGTTGAGTTCCACTCGGCACCCACTTCTACCATGGATGATGCAGACAGTCCTGAATTTCCAAGCGAGATGGTTGCAAACCAGACAGAGGAAAAAGAAGTTGAGAGGAAGGTTCTTGCAGCAGGTAATACTAGTAGTAACTTTTTATTTGGTGTGTAAAGCTTATCAACTGGGGAGGGGTTATTAACGTTATAACAATAGCTTACTAACCAATTGGCAATTATACTTTAGTTTTTATCATACTTCATAATTAAACCCTTCAGTGTATATACACTTAAGTGGGGTACTACACATGGTGTATATAGTGTTTACACTAGAAAGATCCCAATACCCCAAAAGTTTGAAGCAGTTAAAGAGAACGAATTAAGGAGTATTCCCATAATTTGCAAAATAATCAGGAACGGCATTGACAAACAAAAAGATTCAAAAGCCACAGGTGTGGACAGAATTAAATCTAAAGTCGTAAAAGAATTGGCAGATGAACTGTGTCCCTCTGAAATTCCTTGTCACAAAATCTCTGGTACAGTATATGGGATAGTTTTCCTAGATTGGAAATATTCAAATGTTACCCCTATTATCAAAAAAGGCAGAAAGAGCTCGGCAAAAAACTTGAAAACTACTATCAGATCAACCTGTCCTCACACCCTAACTAATACTGTAAAGGCAATAAAAAAGAGACTTATGGATGTCAACCACAAATACTTGCCAAGACCTCCTACATTCAACTTGGAAACAAAGCGTCGAACCAAATACACCTTCCAGTAGGCAATGCCAACATTAATAGCAAAGATTATGGAAAGTTCATTGAAAGTACAAGGAAAGTTCATTATATAAATAGACTAGATAAATAAAACATGTCTGCAAACTCAGGGACTCATTCACCCTCTCACTGTGCAGTCTAGTACAATCAACTCAATATGGTTAAATCCAAAGAAAAATCCAAACTGCTCAACAAAATTAATTCCAAACACTCAAATGTTTTGTTAGGCATTTTTCATTTTTTTTGTTGCGTGTCCATAATGCCCAAAAAATCCACAATGGCCAACAAAAAGATGGCAAACGCCCAACAAATATATCCAAAATGCCCAACAAAACATTTCAAAACGCTCGACTAAGAAAAATCGAAAAGCCCAACTAAAAAGTGGCAAACGTACATCAAAAAAGTAAAAAAAATCCTCCAAATAGACTACAAGCACATGGAATAAATTGTATAATACTAGATTGGATAAAACAATAGTTAAAACAGAGAAAGCGAAGTGTTAGCTTAAAAAGAAATGAATCTGAATAGAGACTTGGGGTCAGTGGAGTAGTGGAGTACAGCATGGTTCCATCTTGGGGCCAGCCCTTTTTGTCATATATCAATAACATTGATGAAAATATTACAAACCACATCAAATTTACAGATGAAACTTGTTAATACCTAAAATGGAGGACTGATGAAAGGCATAACAATGTACGTTACAACTACCAAAGTATTAACTTGCAGCAGACTGTTTAAGAAAAGGACCTTGGAGTCCTTTTCTTCTACAACTGTAGAGAAGATTTGGATTGGAGTCATAACCCACCAATCGGTAAAAGTTGCACGGCAAGTGGTTGCTGCAGTAAGAAAGCCAACCAAGCCCCTAGAAATACTGTAGTCAAATGAACCTTAGACTTGAAAGAAAAGCTTGTTATTCAACTGTACAAATCTCTGGTGCACACTCATTTGGACTACTGTACCCAGTCATGGAGATCTCATTTTCAGAACATACCTATTTGGTGAAAGTTGAACACCGGGCAACCAAAATCATTCCAGAACTAGCTAGACTCGTAATAGGAATTTGAGTCAACTACTAATAACACTGCAAATCAAACATGACAGGACTGATCATCAAAACTTTTAAAATACTGAATAGTTTGAAGGATACTGATGAGACCACTTCTTTATAAGGTTAATTGTAACATGCAACAGCTTCAAGCTCAACAAACTGCAATGTAGGACAGAAAAAATATGCTCTTTCACCCATGGAGTTCTAAACCTAATGAACTGTCTACCCGCTGAAGTTAAAAATACCAAAACAGTGTTGCAATTCAAAATCCAGTTGGATAAAATCAGGAAAAATGTGGGAGTGGGTGGGGGACCTTTTGACAAACTGCTGGATTCCTGTCTCCGTTAAGGCCACTGAAGAGATGGCCGCCCTCGGGTAAGTATCCTTTTGAGCAGTAGCTTCTCTTTATGCAGTCATTCAGCAAATAAAAAGTTTACAATCAAATCTTCTGCACACTGTTGCTTGATGATTTTTCATGCTCTTTGGACCTAACTTTACACATACTTGTGTATCTGCTAAGATATACTCAAACCTGTCTGGAATATCAATTGAAGTGGAATCTAGGCTCTGTGTGTTTGAAGATTATTAATTTTAATTTATACAAAATACATTTGAAATGCAATATAGTAAAGTACTGTATTTATAGCTACAACAGTGTAAATTATATAGTAAATAGTACCCAGAGCATTTTTTTTAATAATGTAACATAATTTGGTAATTTATTTAAAAGTTTAATGGGATACACAATACTAAATGAGAAGTAAGCATTTTAATACTTGAAATGTTAAAAGAAATTTATGAAGTGATTTACAATTCTTAAGTTATATTGAATGAGAAAAGGCACAGCCTACTTAAATATATAGAGAGTGCAGTTTTTAGCAACACAATGGATATAGTATTCAATGCTCACAATAACAGCAACACACATTAGAAAGAATATGTGCTACATAGTGACATTAGAAAGAATTTTTTGTTAGTGTTAGAATACAAACAGAATGTATTAGGCAGTGATGTGGTGGAGGCAGACTCCTTACACAGTTTCAAGTGTAGATATGATAGAGCCCAATTGGCTCAGGAATCTGTAGTTGAATCCACCAGTTGAAAGGCGGGACCAAAGAGCCAAAGCTCAACCCCCGCAAACACAACTAGATGAGTACAGGTTAACACAGAGGACAAGGAAATGCTAGTAAAATTTGATTACATAATATTAATTATTTCTCACTTGCACGACAGCGACGGCTGCAGTACAGGACGACACTTCTGGAGCATTTACATTTACACTGGCGCCTGCGGAGAGACGAGCACAGATGATTGCTTTAATTACTGCTATTAGTCTGTCCTGTTTTTTCTCATAATTTGCTATGAGGTAAGGTTTTATTGGTTGTTCTTGAAATTTAATTTGAATGAAAAATATAGGTTAAATGGAAATATATTCATCCATTGCTTTTACAATGAAATGTGATAATAAATGATTTTAGTCTGTATAAGTTGGTATATTATGCTAAAAATATATTGAACAAAGTAAGAAGATATTATCTTTGTCATATTGTATGGTCTTAGATATGTTATAGACCAATGCAGTACCCAGTAAGGACAATGCTACAGTACTCGGTACTATATAACAAACTACAGGAACATTTCTTTACTATTTTTTCCATGCATCTTAGTAGGAGGAAATGAGTAAGCATATACAAAAGTTTATTTTTAATACAACACCTGTATTTCATATACTGTATTGACTGTATTTCTGTATACTGTAATACAACACCTGTATTTCATATACTGTATTGCAAAGGATTGATTTGCACTAGTGAATTTTCAAAGGAAGACTGCCTTTCCCAGCAAATGCACTTGTTATTATAATGTCAAAATTACAGTGGTTATGTTGTCTGCTGGGATATAGCTTCACTAGCCAGGAACTGGGACAAACCAGCAAATATTCCACATGCAATGCTTTTTTAAAATTGTCTTGCCACATAATTTGGGGTGGGTAGACAGGCCACAAACTGCCGTCAAGGATAAAATCCTCTTAGAACAGGAAACAAGACTACTGAGAATTAAAAGAAATGTGTGAAATGCTAAATGAACAGTTCCAAAGTGCTTGTACAAAATATGGATTTCATAGAGCCAGACCAAATACCAATTCCAGAGCATGCCATAGAATACATAGAGGCATCTCAAGACGAAGTGGAAAAAATTACTGGAGCGGCTAGGAAGAAATAGTGGTTGAACCTGATGGAGTTTGACCTTGAGTGCTGTGAGAATCTACAACTGGGCTGAGCATCCCACTCTAATTAATATTCCAGATATCCTTGTGCACAAGAATCTTAGCAGATACTGTATATGGAAAAAGGCAAACATATTACCAATCTTTAAAAATGATGGTAGAGGGGAACCTCTAAATTATAGACTCGTATCATTAACAAGCATAGTGTCAGAACACCATTAAAAAAAAGTTAAAAGCCTATTGGGTTGAACACCTAGAGAGTAATGATGTAATAATGGACAGACGGTATAGTTTTCAAACACGAAGGTCCTGTGTAACAAATCTACTTAGTTTTTATGATAGCCACAGATACACTACAGGAAAGAGGTGGTTGGGTTGACTGTGTATCTGGACCTAAAAAAAAAAAAAAAAAAAAGGCTTTTAATAGTCCCACACAAGAGGCTGTGCTGGAAACTGGAACATGCTGGAGGGATAACAGGGAGACGTCTGACATGGATGAAAAATTGTCTGACACAGATGAGGGCAGTAATCAGAGACAATGTATCTGACTGGGGAAGTGTTACTAGCAGAGTACCACGGGGTTCAGTTCTTGCACCAGTATTGTTCATTGTCTACATAAATGATCTACTAGAAGGAATACAGAATTATATGAACATGCTTGTGGATGATGCTAAGATACTGAGGGAGATAAAAGATGCAGATGATTGTAATGCCCTTCAAATTTATCTAGATAAAATAAGTGCTTGGAGTGTCAAGTGGAATTAATGTGAATGCCATCTTATGGAATGTGGAATCGGAGAACATAGACCACACACAACTTACAAATTATGTGGAAAGGAATTACAGAACTCTAATAAAGAATGAGACCTAGGGGTGGTTTAGTAAGCCGTCGCCAGGGGATGACGGCTTACTATTGTCTTTGTGAGGATAGTATGCCAGAAGAACGAAGGTCCTGTGTAATCTTCGGATTACACAGGACCGAGAGAACATTGTGAGAGGAGCATATGCATCGTTCTCTAACTTCAGACTTTTAATTATATGGATGGTAAAATACTAAAGAAACTGTTCATGACTTTTGTGAGACCAAAATTGGAATATGCAGTAGTTGTATGGTGCCCAAATCTAAAGAAACACAAACTGAAAAAGATAGCAATGACATGCTACAAAATGGCTTCCGGAACTGAAAAACGAGAGAGTTACAAGGAGAGACTAGACGCGTTAAACTTGTGAAAACTAAAAGATAAGAGAACAAGGTGATATGATCGCCACTTACGAACTACTAACAGGAATTCACCAAATTTGCAAAGAGGATTTCCTGAAACCAGCAACTTCATAAACAACAGGACACAGATGCAAGCTAAGAAAACAAAGGTGCCAAAAAATATTAGAAAGTTTTGTTTTACAGAGTGGTAGACGGAACAAGTCAAGTGAAAAAGCATTAGTTTCAAAAGCGCTATACAACAGAGTACTGGGAAGATGGGAAACCATGAGTGTAGCTGTCATCCTGCAAGTACCCTTAGGTAATTACACACACACTCACTTCTCTCTCTACTCTCTCTCTCTCTTTCTTTCGAGAGAGTTCCACTAAGTCGTTGTTCTGGAAATTGAAACATACTGGAGGAGTGACAGGGAAGCTTCTAACATGGACGAAAAATTTTGAAGAAAAATGAGGGCAGTAATCGGAGGCAATGTATCGGACTGGAGAAATGTCACGAGCGGAGGACCACAGGGTTCAGTTCTTGCACTGGTAATGTTCATTATCTACATAAATGACCTATGAGAAGGAATACAGACTTGTATGAACATGTTTGCTGATGATGCCAATATACTAGTGAAGATAAGAAACTTAAAAGATTGTCATACCCTTCAAGAAGACCTGGACAAAATAAGTGTATGGTGCACCACTTGGAAAATGGAATTTAATGTGAATAAATGAGATGTTATGGAATATGGAATAGGAGAAAATAGACCACACACAATCTACAAATTATGTGAAAAAGCTTTAAAAAATTCTGGTAAAGGAGATTTAGGGGTGGTTTTAGATAAAAACAAATCATCTAAGGTCTACATAAAGAACATTGTACGAGAAGCCTATGCTACTTTTTTTTTTTTTTTTTTTTTTTTTTTTCTCTCCCAATTTCAGAATTGCTTTTAAATACTGTACATCAATGGTGAATTAGTAAAGAAATTGGTCTCACAAAGGTTGTGAACAAAGCTGGAAGATGCAGCGGTTGTATGGTGGCCATATCTTAATGCATCAGACTGGAAAATATGCAGACATGCAACTAAATAGCTCCTGGAACCGAGACTAGAACATAAGAATCAAGATAACCGCAGAAGGCCTATTGGCCCATATGAGGCAGCTCCTATTTATATCCACCCAAACTCATTCATATACATGTTTAACCTACGCTTGAAACAATCAAGGGATCCTACTTCTTATGTTGTGCAGTAATTGGTTCCACAAATCAGCAACCATGTTACTGAACCAGTATTTACCCAGTTCTCTCCTAAATGAGGTTAGAGGAGACTAACCTCTCATTGTAGCTCTTGAGGCACTAAATATGCCAAAACTAGTACTGTAGATAGAAGAGAGGCGATATAATCATTACGTACAAAATGTCCATTTGGTCGATTCCCGTTACTTAAGAAGAATTCCTGAAACTTCAAGAACAAGAGGTCACAGATTCAAGCCAAGGAAACAAAGGTGTAGGAAAATATTAGAAAGTTTTTTTGCAAGAGTGAACGGATGAGTTAGGTGGAGGAGGCCAAAACCATCGGTAGTTTCAAAGCATTATATGAGAATGCTGGGTAGACGAGACATTAAGAGCATAGTTCACATCTTGTAACTAAACACACTGCATTGTTTTGTGCCCAAATTCACATTTCTCTTGTTTTTTTTTTCTTTTTTTTTTTTCCCATGAAACAACCTAATAATTTACTTTTCTTTGCTATGTTTATGATGATAATTGAAGTTATCTTTTTCAGACTGTGAGAAGAATTGTGTTTATTCCTGGCTTGGAAATGTACATGGCCGGAGAAGGAGCAGACTTTGCATTTGCCTAACTTATTTATCTATGGGAAAACATTTAACAAGTTTAGAAGCCACATTCTAGAAAAGTTATTAACCCTTAAATGGCTCCAATCGCTATCTGCAATTACCTCCTGTGCTAAAATTGCCAAACGAGATATTTTGACATTAGTTGTGTGAAGTACCTTTTGTCGCGTGCACGACAACGTAAACCTTATTTAGTCGAGCTGTTTAAGGGTTAACGTCCGTTATTACAATGAGGATGTATTTACTGCTTGGTAGTGTCACTTGAGTGTTGACAAAAAGATCACTCTTGGTGACATTTGCAAGCAAGGACATTCCATGAATAAATTTATTGCATTAAATAAATGGATATACAGTATATATATATATATAAAGTAACTTGTTTCAGAAGGATAGATGTAAACCTATGTTTGTAAATACACTAATGATGGGGGAAATATGGAAAAATAGACCATAGTATAATAAGATGGCCCTTGGGAGGGGGGGGGGGCTGGACCGGTCTCAGTGGCTTTTTTTGCATATGCACTGGTATTTCAAGACCAAGTTCTAGAACATAGCAAAGTAAAGAACCCATCAACTTCAGAGAATAAAATGTTGGTAGCCAATATTCTTTGCTAACAGTGCCACGGAAGAGCACCATGAACCACACCAGCTGAAGTGGGGTAACGCATCATGAGACATACAGGGTGACTGGCAAACACATTTATAAAGAGTGTACAAAACATGAACACTAACACCAGGAAGTCACTTACCTCAAAAGAAATCTGGTCACAGGAGATATTGGGTAAGATGTTAAAAGTCCCATTTGCCCCTCACCAGGTAAGACTGTGAAGGAGTGGGCCGTGCTGGATCTCGAGTTGACTAGTGCTCCCAACTGGTGGTGGTTATTTTGAGATGATTTCGGGGCTTTTTAGTGTCCCCGCGACCCGGTCCTTGACCAGGCCTCCACCCCCAGGAAGCAGCCCGTGACAGCTGACTAACACCCGGGTTCCTATTTTACTGCTAGGAAATGGGGGCATAGGGTGAAAGAAACTCGGCCCATTGTTTCTTGCCGGTGCCCGGGATCGAACCCGGGACCACAGGATCACAAGTCCAGCGTGCTGTCCGTTCGGCCCCCTTTTTGTCGTGGTGTGGATGGGAAGCAACAAGGTGTATTTATCAGTCCTTTATAGGAAGTTCTGAGTTTTGTTTGGTAATCATTGGGCCCAAGCCTGTCTCTAAGAGTGACATCTTTTTAATCCCCACTTTGGTTACGGCCCTGAAGAACCTGTACGAACAGCCAGGTTGACCAGACCAGTAACCAGGAGGCTTGGTCCAAGACCAGGCTACCAGGACATTGATCCTCAGAATCGTCGACAGGTAATTGGCAGGTAAGCTATGGGAAGCCACTGAGACATCCACCCAATAAGTGTCACTTTGAAATCATAATTGTTTATTTACACAAAATAAATTTAGAATGGCATTAATGCAATACAAAACATATTTCTTTAAATTGGCTTTATATTTACTGTGTAAGTAAATAAGCAAATTTTCTTAAATGCTTCCTGATGATGGTAAGAATAATTCTGAAATCGAATGCAGACACAGACAAAATGTACGTAATTATACATAGACAAAATGCCTGTAATTACCGGATCTAAAAGTAAACTTCTTGAAGTTAATCGTATTGTTAGAGAATTTCTCAACACATCAGAATATAAATCCTAAAGAATGAAGCAGTTAGGCTGTATGTTATAGTGCTGGTAATACATCTACAATTATTAATGTTATTGCAAAGTTTTTTCATGCAAACTGTCATCAGGTATTTAGGCAGGTGTTTGTAGTCTTCATAATTGTTCTTGCCATATCCACTTACTGTGATAGTAAATAATAAGTGATATATAGAATCTATTGCTATTTTAACAGTTGTTCAGGTACAAGGATTGGCACCCCCCCCCCCCTTTTTTGTCACTTTCCTAAGCTTGTTGCACCAGGATGTTTAGGACACCAGAAAATATGCTAGGTTCGCAAGTGACAAACAAGTACCATCACCACTTTTCTCTCCTTATGATGGGTAAGAAGCTTGCGAAGAACAGGTCCTATTGCTGAGGTCAGTTACTAAGCATTTTTCTTTACCAAAGAAATCAATTCCTATGAGAATATGTTTGGACCTCTCCAATTGCCTCACAACTCTGACCTAACTAATCCTCATGAAGCTGACTATCCTGACCACCACAATGTGGTGCCTTGCACAGGATAAGTCAGGGTAAACTAACTGGCTTTCACACTCCTGGGGCCAGATTCACGAAGAAGTTACACAAGCACTTACGAACCTGTACATCTTTTCTTAATCTCTGACGACTTTGTTTACAATTACAGTATTAAACAGTTAATGAGCAAGGCACCAGGAGGCAGTTTATAACAATAACAGTTGATTGGAAAGTTTTCATCTTTGTAAACTGTTTAATAAATGTAATTAAAGCCGTCAAAGATTAAGGAAAGATGTACACGTTCGTGAGTACTTGTGTAACTGCTTCGTGAATCTGGGTTCTGGTCTGTTGACCTTAGGGCTTGGTTATAATTTGTTCAGGTGTTTCAGTGCCTGGCTTCTCTGGAGTTATTTTCCTTCCAGGTGTGGTTGGAATGCAAGTGTTCTGCGATGGACACTTGTATTAATGACCAAACCACACATCAGAAGATGGAGAAACAAGAAGGATGGTGTGGTGTGTGGTTTGGTCGTCATATCTTCAGCAATGCTATTGTGACTCGTCATCAACACTTACGTCATCTGCCAGTTGCAACCCCACTGGGGCTGAGCTCACTTTGTGAGCCAAGCTTTTTTGCGATGCAATGGTGAAAATCATCGACAAGTTCCATTCTTAGAAGGGGTAGGGGTTCTGGCTTGCTACTTATAGTGCAGGTGTAGTTTTTGAGCTTGTTGGTTCTTTGGGGTGGCAAGCTCATTGGCCGACCAGAGCATGTGGATGCTCTGTTTGACCAGAGTAGGCAGATCTTGCCTAAACCAATGAGAGCAATTTCTGACTGTCCTTTCATGATGCACTCTAATGACATGGTGGAAGGGGCAGTCTGGGCATCTTCTGGTGGGCTTGGATCCAAGTTGCATGTACCATTCTCTTGGTCTTCTGCCTCTTATCCTTATATCTCGGCCTGCCCCAAATATGTACAGTACATTTTTCGCATTTGTCTTTTGTGATGTGTTTGATATGGGTGTGCTTGCTTCAAATTGACTCCTGTGAGTAATTTCGCACTTTTTCCCTGTGGCAGGGAGGGGTTCCACACGGCTTCAATTTCTTTCTCTCCTTAGCCGATTGCTCAATTCCCTGGTGAGCAATGTGCCATTTGTTCACCAGGTGGTGGTGTCCCTGGCTTTGGTTTCATTCCTGGTTCGTCTCCCCAGTGGTTCTCTGCTGTTGGGCCCCAATGGAGAAAAGGACCTTGTGGAGCTTCTATGTCTTGGTCAACATTGCAAGCCTGTTTTTTATTTTTATTCATACATTTTTTTGGTTCTGGACCCCCTGCTGTTGGTGCTTGGCAGTGACTGTGGATCTCTCGGGTAGCCTCTGGTGCTCTCTGGTCCTCCTAAAGCTTTGTTTTCATACCTTCCTCTGCTCTATGTTGCAACTCTATTTTTGAATTTTGGGCACAAAATTAAGTGAGAGCCAGGGCCAGGGCCAGGTATCTGGTGATCTCGGGTTCCTCTGTGACCCCTGGGTTCCCTGACTTTCTGCCGTGTTCTCCCAGTGTCTTTGTTTTCCTAGCCAGGGTTCTGACACTGACAAAGGGAGCCCACCATTCTCATTTGGGAAGTCTGCCATGATTAGAAACATGTTGGTGTCTCGCCTTCAAGCATCTTTGCACCAATGGTAGTCACACCCTGGAGTTCCATCTACTGTACATTATTGGGTTATCACTGGGTCAAATGTGGAAAGGGTGTCTAACCCTGACAGTTAGGTAGCTTAGTGCACCACCTGGCGATGAAAGATTTCCAAAGATATTCATGTAGAAAGACTTAGTTTTGAATTGGTTTCCTTTCTAAGTGGTTGACCTTGGAAGTGGTTTGATCTTTAAACCCCATGAGTTTCCCCAAGATGCAATGAAGGGGCAAGTGAAGATGGTGCCTGTCCCTGTGTACCAAGTCTATCATTATCCCATACATAGAAAAGGGCATTTAATTATAATTAACACTATTTTTTTAAGTTGTATATACTGTACAATCACAAGTGTTATCCATGCCAATATGCTTGACAAGTCCAAGAAATTAATCTAGTAACAGATGTGTATTTTTGGGCTTCAACTAGGTAAGCAAATGGGTTAATTGATCAACTACCAAAAGATGTCTTGTATAGATTACAAGTACTCCATTTGAATAAGCAATTTATTTATATAATTTAAGTGAAACATTACCATAAGTTTTCTTGAATAGGAAACTATGGATATGTCTGACAGATATCTGAATTAAGTTAATGTATAATACATTACACTAGTTTAAACAGTATATAACAATATAATTTGGTTGTATAGTACAGTATATTATTTATTTTATTATTTATACAAGAGTTCTTGCATTCTTGTAAAGCCACTAGCATGCATAGCATTTTGGGCAGGTTCCCCCTCCCCGCTCAGCTCGTTGTCGCCGTGTGGGGGCTTAGTGGGCGGCTGCCGGAGTGTGATGCTCCTTGGGACAGTCCTCTGTCCTTTTCTAGCCTTGTGCTCCTGCTGCCGTCCTCTCCAATTCTGCTGAGCATCTTTTCCTTTTCCTTCTGTTTCGTTTTTCTCCCCCCTCTTCTCCTATCTGCTTGCCGTTTCCTACCGACCTTTTGCTCGTTCTGGTTCTTCCCTTGGACTTCTTCTATTTTGCCGCCCGGGTGCTTGAGGAGGCATACTCATGCACCCGTAGAACTGCAGTACCCGACGTCGAGAGCGAGGGGAACCTTTTATTGTCAATCCCCACTTCGTCACTGAACCCGATCTCGACGGACTGTCGGTTTCTTAAGGTGGCGTTTGTGGGGCGTATACTCGCGACGCACCCCTAGGAGGCCCCGACAAGATCGGCGATAGCTTCTTGTTGGGTGTCCTGCCTCTAATTGTGGCTCCATGGTGGGTGTGGGGGCACATTCGTGAGTGAATCCTTTCTTTCGTCAAGATGATTACCCCTGCTTCGGCTTCTTCTGGTTTACCTTCTCAGGCTCGTGGGGTGGGCGACCAAGCCCCCGAGTCGGTCCGTATTGGAAGACCGGGCTCTGTAGCCTCCGCTGCATTGGGCCCCGACCTTGCTCCTCCTTTGGCCTCTCTGACTCCTTCCTCTGGCTCCCCTCCCTCCTCTGTGGTTGGGTCGAGCCCCAAGCCCCCAGTGGTGACTACCTCGTCCCCTGGCGCGGCTCCTTCTCTAGTTGTAACTACTGCGCCTTTTCACCCCTCTCTCTCTGGGGGTTCTCACCGCCGTCCTCGTCACGGCCGCCCTCGCTCGTTTCCTTCCAGTTCTGCTACCTATCAAGCCTTGTTTGGTCCCGCTTCGTGGGCCAAATATTTTGATCTCCTCCCTCTTGATTCTGCGCCTCCTGACGATTTCTCCCTCCATCGACATCTCATTGATTCCGTGGATGCCTCCATTACTTTCAACCCCACTCGTCTCGGTACACGTGTCGTTGCTGCTCCTTCTCAGGATGCTGCTTCCCGCTTGGCTGCCTTATCCTGCCTTGGCGAGACCCCCGTTCGGGTCTCGAAAAACGTTCAGTTGAATGCCAGTGTTGGCACTATTTTGCTCCCGCCCCATGTTGCGACCGGTGTTCGGGACCTGCGCGACTGCCACGACGATATTCGACATATCCTCACTGCCCAAGGCCACTCTATTCTCCAGGTGGACACGTTTACTCGTCCCCCTCGTGGTAGTCGCCGTCAACCCCTCCGGGTTGTGAAGATTACCTTTGATGGTAGGACCCTTCCACCCTCTGTCATTCTTGCTGGTGCCAGGTGCTCTGTCCAGGAGTACATTCCTTCTCCTCGGCTCTGCAACAAGTGCTGGAGGTTTGGGCATGGTGCCCTCCGTTGCTCCGGGACTGTCTCTCTCTGTCCTTTGTGTGGTGGCGAAGGTCACTCTAAGTCGGAGTGCACTTCTCCCCAGGCTCGTTGCCTCAACTGCGGTGAGGCCCATCCTACCTTCTCCCGTGCGTGTGTCCATTACAAGCTTGAGGCAGCCGTCCTCAACTTGAAGCACCGGGAGCGTTTATCTTTTCCTGAGGCGAGGCGCCAGGTTCGCCGGCTCCCGCCTTATGCTAATGTCTCTTATGCTCGCGTGTTGCGCTCTTCCTCTCCTCGTCCTTCCCGCCTTCCTCAGACTCACAACCGTTTCCGGGCCTTGGACCCTGATGCGCCCACTGCCCCCTCCTCTGTCCCTTTGGGTTCTCTCCCGACGGATCCTCCTCCTGGTCCTCTGTCTGGGGTTCCCCTTCCTTCTACCCGGTCTGTCGTGTCTTCTGTGTCTTCTTCCTCGTCCCCCTCCGATCCTCCTTCCCATCCTCTTCCTCCATCTATCGGCTCTCCCCGCCGCCTGTCGGTGCGGGCGGATGTCCATCGCTCTCCTAACGGCCGTCGTGTGTGCTCTCGTTCGGCTTCTCCTGTTGAGACACTGGAATCCGTTGCCCGGTACGTAGTTGCTGGGACACCGGTCTCTTTAAGTCAGAAGCGTAAGCCTGGCTCCTCTCCTTCCTCTTCCCCGGCGGGTAAGAAGGCTTCGCTTTCTTCCTCAGCTCCTCCTTCTGGCTCTGTTGCTCCTTCCCCTTCCGTTTCAGTGCTTGCGCCCCCTGTTCCTGCTATGGAGGTTTCTTTGGCCCCTGCTTCCCTTTCGGTTGCTGCTCTTGCTGGGGTGCGCTCCTCTCTTTCTACTCCCCCTCTTCCTGCTGCTGTCCTTGACTGCTCCTCTCCGTTGTCTCCTCCTCCTCCTCCTCCGGACCCTGCCCGCCCACCTCTGATCTGTTCTCCCGTTTCCTTCCCTCCGTCTTTGCTCAGTTTACCCATGCCCCCTAACCCTGACTTTGCTGACCCTGGTCCCGACCCTGATATTCTTTAACGTGCTCTGTTGGTCTTTCGCCTTTGTTTCTTCCTTGTTCTCTGTTTTTGTCCTTTCTCTTCTCGTCGTTGTCCATTCTTCAATGGAACGTTCGAGGTTATTACGCCAATTTCCTCGAACTCCAACTTCTGGTTTCGCGGTTTTCGCCCCTTTGTGTCTGTCTCCAGGAGCCAATGCTTGGTGCTCGTCCTGGTCGTTTTCGTGGCTATTCCTTTCTCCCCCCCCCCCCCCCAGCCATTGCTGGGGCTTCTAATTCTTCTGCTCTCTTGATTCGGGCTGATGTTCCCTTTGTTCCTTTACTTTTTCCTTCGCCTCTCCAT